CTTGAGAAAGAGTAGGAAGCTAGTGACGGTGCCAGCTCGAGCGGTGAAGTGTCTCACCATTGTATGGGAGGGAATTATTTACAGCCCGGGAAGCTTCCTTTGCTCCTCCCAGTGCACTTCCTGCCAAGAAATGGATCATAATCTACAAAGCATTTTGCGCCCTTTACACCCAGGGAACTCACCGAGTATCTGATCCACAGGTTTCCTTGGCCGAGCTTGGAGGGCCTCAAACGGACCCGGTGCAGTTGGGAAACTGACTCTGCTGGGCCCTTATATTGTAAAGGGAGTGGCTGGCGCCTGGCAGCGCTTCCAGTTTCCCTGAACTTGCCTGGGCCCTTGGGGGTCACACTTGAGATGTCCTTCACCCACTTACTGCTACCTGGGGCCACAGGGCCGGCCGGCCGCACGCCTCCACCATTGGCTTTTCTTGTTCTTCCCGCGGGAGCGGCCTTTCTCTACTGTCCCTCTGCCGGCCCACGGGCCTCCTCCCGGCCTGTGAGCGCCTCCAGGTGGGAGTCCGTGGGCCCAGTGGAACCGTCGGCTGCCGACCCTTTTGGGAGGCCAGGCCGAGCTCGCACATTCTTCGCCTGGAGCTATTTTTATCCTTGCTGGGGGACTTGTGCGGAATGAGTGGCAGGGCCAGGAGGCGAAGGGAAAAGTCATCAGGGCCTGAGGAGAATTCGGGAAACTGAAGCCCAGTCTGAAAGAAGAGGACATTTCTTTCTTTTTCCTCTTTCTTTCCCTGTTTCTCTCTCTCTCCCTTCTGTCTTCTCCTTGCAATACCCTCTCCACGTTCTACTTTCCCTCTCTCTCCCTCTCCTAGTCTTTCCCTTACATGCATTTATTATTTTAATCGTTGTTAAAGGGCCGCTGTTTTACAGCCTTGTTAGTGTTTTGACAGCGTAGGATTCCCCCCACCCCAGAGGGTAGTTACCCCGGTTCTCCCACCACCAGAGCACCCCCAGCCCTCCATCATAGTCCACTGTGCTCTATCACCCCACCTCATGCTCGCCTCTCCCCTCCCCCTCTGAGAGCCCGGATCTATGGTTACATTTCCAGGGTTGGTTTTAAAGTTTGTCTTTGTCTGAGTTTTGTTCGGTTTCTCTATAGTCCACGTATAAGTGACACCACCTGGTATTTATCTTTCTCCTCGGACTCACTTCGCTGAGCACGACCCTTTCCAGCTCCATCCATGTTGCTGCAAACGGCAAGAGTTTATCATTTTTGATCGCTGAGTAGTATTCCATTGCGTATATAGACCCCCTCTTCTTGATCCACTCACCTGTTTTGGGACATTTAGGTTTTTTCCATATCTTGGCTGTTGTAAATAGTGCTGCAGTAAACATAGGAGTGCAGGTTTCCTTTGAATTAATGGTTTTGTATTTTCTGTTGGGTGGATCCCTAGGAGTGAAATTGCAGGGTCATATGGCAGGTCCAGTTTTAGACTTTTGGCTTCCCCTATTCTTGTCCTCCCCCCACCACATTTCTTGCTAGTAATGTTTGCTTTTACTCCATTCTCACATGCTGAGCATTGTGCTAATGATAATGTGTTAACATTATCATTTTTTTTGATAAGTGCTTTTTATATATAATGTCATAACATTCTGTCAACACACTAATACTATTCCCATTTTGCTGATGAGAAAACGGAAACACAGATCCAGTAACTTCTCCAAGTTCAACAGATATTAACAGAGATTTGAGTTCCACTTACCTCCCCCCCATCCCCTTCCATGGCCTCTTGTCTCTAGTTCCAGCTCCCCTTTGTCATAAGCCTCTGTGTGCCCCTCCCCCACCCCCTCCTGTCCAGAGCCTGGTCCCCACTTGGTGTGTGTGGCTGACCCGAAGGTGCTGAAAACTGTGCCCATGCCCAGAAGAGCCGACAGACCTTCAAACTCTCACCTAATCCTTCATTTTCTGTTTGAGCCAAGCACCGCCATTTTCCATACTTGGAGGCTAAGGGAGAGGCCTTCACCACCTGATCACAAACCGGAGGAAGCTCTTGAGGCCAGGGTGGGTCTTTGATGTGGAAGGGAAGAGAGATGGGCATTTCTACCTGCACATGGACTCCCGGTTCCAGGGACCTGCATACTCCTGGGGTGGGGGCTGGGGGGCTGATCTCCATCAAGGTATCGGCTGGGGCCAAGGAAGCCAGACCATGCTATGTGGCACCCGCCTTGTCCTTCATGCACCTAAAGAATATTTGAATAGCACCATGGGCCACACAGATGTGAGGTTCAAGATGGGAACTTGACAGCCTCTGAAGTCCATCAGAGTTTATGATTCTAAGAATACTTACATTCTTAGAAGGGAATATTTATGTTCAGTGCTCTCCATTTTTAGGGGGGAAGTCACTGTGCTGATTTAGATTGGTTAGCAGCTTACGGCGTAATTTATTGCTCTCCAAGTAAGAATTCTAGAGGTAGGAGAGTCCAGAGCTGATTCAGAGGCCTCAGGCCCTAGTGGGCATTTCTGAGATTCTCTGAGCAGCTTCCAACTTGTTGGCTCAAGCAGCCCTGGTCACCGGCAGGAAGCGGTGGGCGTGGGGAGGACGCAAGAGGCGCCTGTCCTTCACCGGGGCATAGAAACCCCTTTCTAGAGTACTCCCTCCACACCAGACTCTCCCCATACCTCACTGACTGCAGGGGAGGTCGGGAAAGTGGTACCTGGCCTGCTAGTGGGACTCAGGCAGGAAACAGGAACTTGTTTTGCCACCGAGTAGGAAACATCTGAGCTTTCCACCCTCCCTCTACCCCTTCATTCATTCAACTGAGGTTTACTAAGTACCCGCTCTGGGCCAAGTGGTAATAATACAGGAAAAAAAAAATACCCCACCGTCCTCCCAGAGCCCCTCCTGAAAGACCATAAGGCAGAGGGTTACAAAACCAGGTCGCAAGTCCCGGAAAGCAGGCGTGTCCCCAGGGTCCCCAGGGGAGTGGAAGAGGCTAAGTGTAAGGGAGATGAAGGAAGCAATAGGGTGACATAAGTAAATGGGATTCAGCTGGGGTTGTAGGAGGTGGCTGGGAGGAGAGTATCTGGGACAAAGGGAACTAAGGGGACAGGCAGGGCATGAGGCTGAAGAAGCAGACAAGGGCTGATGAGAAAAGGCTTTGTGTGGGATTTATTCTGGCAAAGGTAAGCAAGGCTGGTGCAGTGACCTTCTGCAGACAGAAGGACAGACTGACTTGAATAGCTGGAATGGCCACACTGCATGCAGGGTAGGAGACTGGCACTGCTGAAGGGCATTACTAGCTCATCTAAAGAATTATTGTTGGCAGCCTCCCAATATAGCTGGTCCCTGCTGGGTGGTTCTGATCATAAGAGGATGCTTCTTGAGGGGCCTCCCCCATCTATCAATAGTTCAGCCTTCTGGAGCCATAAATTAAAATGCATTTTCTACCTAAAAGCCATTCAAACACATGGAGGCTTTGTGGTATGATTCTCAGCATCTCACAGACCTCATCTCATTTGCTCCTCAAAATCTCTAGAGTAACTATATTCTTTTCTCATCCCCCCATCCCCTCAGATTTGGGGTAGCTAATTTCATTCCCATTTAATGGTCAAGGGAACAGACTCAGTGAGGTAAATGCCCAGAGTCACATTTGTAGACTCGAGTTCTGTGTTCTTCCCACAACTCAGTGTCACCCAGGCGTGGTCCTTAGACTGGTGGGTCAGAATCACCAGGGCTGCTCCTTGAAAACCCAGATTCCAGTGGAGAACACCCCAGACCTCCTGAAGCAACATCTCCAAGAGCACAGAAGCTGTATCATCACGCAGCTCTGGTAATTTCTAAATCCATGAAAGCACGGGGCCCATGCGTCATCTTGCTGTATGGACATGTTGTGAACATTCCGGACCCCCACTCCACCCCATTCCTTTGGTTTAGGGCATAAGGACACAAAGTCATCTGCACAGTCTTAAAATCAGAACAGGTTTTGTATGGTTTTGTGACACAGCCAGACGGGAACCTGGTGTCCTCCCGGGACAGCCACTGGCCTCCATTCCTAAGGCAACTTAGGAAATCAAAAGTGCTAAACCAATTAGAGATAAAAACCAGAAACCCCTGTCAAGATTAATTACATTTTGTCTCAAAGTTCCTTTCTCTCTGCACAAGATCTAGAAACTCAACACAAACTGGTGATTACTGGAATAGTTCTACAGAGTAGCATCTGCCCACGGTCCCCGGGTTCGAAGGACCACTCTGAATACCTAATAAAGCATCTGTCTTGCAGGCTGTTTACAGTCAACATGACCACACTGAATCTTCCCTTTCTTTTTATTTTTGCTGGGGGGGTATCCAGGAGAGGGGGAGTTTTTTTGAGGCGAATTTTACTTGTAAATTACACTCTTAAAAGTCTCTTAAGTCGCACTCTCTTAAAGATAAAGAATCCCAGGGCCTCCCTGGTGGCGTAAGGGGTTAAGACGCAACCTATGAAGCTGTCCACAGCCTCTGCAGCCGTTCAATTCCTGGCCAGGGAGCTACCCATATGGTGCAGCAGACCTCTCCCGTCTCCCCAGGGCTCCCCTCAGCAGTGTATTTCAGTCAGTCTGCCTGTTCTGTTCCCCACTCTGTCTCTGGTGAATCCTCTCACCCCCCACACCTCTGGCCTGTACCCCAGCTCTTGTATGCATACATAAATCTTAAAGAAAAAAACAGGGGCCTCCCTGGTGGTGCGAGGGGTTAAGATGCAACCTATGAAGATGTCCGCAGTCACTGCAGCATGAATTTGATCCCCGGCCCGCCAGGGAGCTACCCACATGACGCAGCAGACCTCTCCTGTCTCACCCGCTGCAGTGTATTTTAGTCAGTCTGCTTGTTCTGCTCCCCACTCTGTCTCTGGTGAATCCTCTCACCCCCCACACCTCTGGCTTGTGCCCCAGTTCTTGTATTCATAAATAAATAAATCTTAAAAAAAAAAAAAAAGATGAGGACTCCCAGAGCATCAGCAGATCTCCCAGAGTTTCCCAGAAGCTTCCTCTCTTGTCCGCTCTGCTTGCAGGAACCCCGGAGCCTGTCCTCTGCTGAGCCACGATGGGTGACTGGAGCTTCCTGGGAGAGTTCCTGGAGGAGGTGCACAAGCACTCCACGGTCATCGGCAAGGTGTGGCTCACGGTGCTCTTCATCTTCCGGATGCTGGTGCTGGGCACGGCGGCCGAGTCCTCCTGGGGGGACGAGCAGGCCGACTTCCAGTGCGACACGATCCAGCCGGGCTGCGAGAACGTGTGCTACGACCAGGCCTTCCCCATCTCACACATCCGCTTCTGGGTGCTGCAGATCATCTTCGTGTCCACGCCGTCGCTGCTGTACATGGGCCACGCCATGCACACGGTGCGCGTGCAGGAGAAGCGCCGGCTGCGTGAGGCCGAGCGGGCCAAGGAGGTGAGGGCCGCGGGCTACGAGTACCCGGCGGTGGCCGAGAAGCCAGAGCCCACCTGCTGGGAGGAGGCAAACGGCAGGATCGTCCTGCAGGGCACGCTGCTCAACACCTACGTCTGCAGCATCCTCATCCGCACCGCCATGGAGGTGGCCTTCATCGTGGGCCAGTACCTGCTCTACGGCATCTTCCTGGACACCCTCCACGTCTGCCGCCGCAGCCCCTGCCCGCACCCGGTCAACTGCTACGTGTCCCGGCCCACGGAGAAGAACGTCTTCATCGTCTTCATGCTGGCCGTGGCGGGCCTGTCCCTCTTCCTCAGCCTGGCCGAACTCTACCACCTGGGCTGGAAGAAGGTGCGGCAGCGCTTCTTCAAGCCGCCCCAAAGCCTGGCTGAGTGCCACCTCCCCGCGCCCTCGGCCAGCCTGGGCCAGGGGTGCACACCGCCCCCCGACTTCACCCAGTGCCTGGACGGCAGCCCCGAGGGCAAGTTCTTCAATCCCTTCAGTAACAAGGTGGCGTCCCAGCAGAACACGCACAACCTGGCCACCGAGCAAGTCAGAGGCCAGGAGCAGGCGCCCGGGGAGGGCTTCATTCACATCCGCTATGCCCAGAAGCCTGAGGTGCCCAACGAGGTGTCCCCAGACCACCGCTTGCCCCACGGCTACCAGAGCGACAAGCGCCGCCTCAGCAAGGCCAGCAGCAAGGCCAGGTCTGATGACCTGTCGGTGTGACCCCAGGGTGTGGGGCAGCCAGGACTGGGCAGGGAGCTGTGTCCCTTCTGACCCCATGTGCTCTCCTTCTCATCACTTTTCTGCCCCCTTTAGGCCCCTGGGTCTTCATTTATTCCAGAAGCTAGACCAGGGCTCTGCACTGCAGTCAGAGACTTGGGGACCCACCGGGGCTGCTGCCTCTCCCACACGCTCCACCCCGCCGCCCAGTGAGGCCTTCTAGAACACTCCCGGGCCGGGTGAGAGAAGGGGAGACCTAGGGCACCTCAGGCCAGAGGAACAGCCAGCTCCACACACCAGTCATGTCCGCGTGGGTTCTCCGAGTCCCTGTGGCTTCCCCCACCCGGTGCCCGTCCTCCCTCAGGGAAGACCCAGGGTTCCAGGTCAATACTGAGCAGGAATTAAGGAACTTGCGTTGGGCGTGCAGGTGAGTCCGCTGTCTCCCTGGGCCACACCTGGGGTGGCATGAGTCACCTTAGGCTGCCCTGCCCCGTTTTATGTAAAGAGAGGTCCTTGGAACACGACAAGCAGCCTCGCCAAGCAGCCTCGCCTTTGCAGCAAAGCAGCACTGGGGATGTTGCAGCCTTTCCTCCCACCAGGACGCCAGCCCCCTGGGGGTCACAGTACACGCAAGTCCCTGGAATTCCTGCGCCAGCCCGCAATGCCTCTGCAGGTCAACCTGATGGCAGAGCCTGCTCCTTCCTCGCCGCTCCTGGCTTGCACCCTGTGCGCCCCCAAATGCCTTACTGACCGGAATGCCCAAAAGGCGTCGTCTTCTCTTGGATCCTGAACAGATCACCAGCCACAGAGCCCAGTGGAATTTCCCCAGGTCTTATTAACACAAAGAGGGCTTTGTGCGCCTCAGATTCCCCTTGGGGAAAATAATTCTGCTGTGAAAATGAAAAGTTAAAAGGAGAGAAAATACTGGAAAACTATTTTTCTCTCCTATTTATTTACCTTGCTGACTGCCAACGTGAGCATCAGGAGGAGATGTGATGACAGCTCTGGAGGCCCCGGATCTCTCTCCCTGGAGGCCAAGCTGTGCCATGGAAGCAGTCGGGGAACCTCCGTTCTCTTGGCAGAGGCCTGGCTTGAGAGCACAGATTCCTGTGTCTCCTGGGTGCTCCTAATGATACTGCCGTGTGGGGGCTGAAGAAAAGTCCTGCCTCCCCCCAACCCCACTCTCCCTTTGTGCAACCAGCCTGATTTCTCTGTTCAGTCTGGTCATAATGGGCAGTTGCCATATCAGATGAGGATAAAACAGGCTCACAATGGGGCACTGAAACTTGCAGGGAGATGATACTTCTAAAAATGCATACATGCGTGTGTGTGTGTGTGTGTGTGTGTGTGTGTGTGTGTGTTATGAGGCCAAGGACGTGCAGGACACTGCTCAACACCTACGTCTGCAGCATCCTTCCTGATCCGCACCACTCTGTGTGTGTGTGTGTGTGTGTGTGTGTGTTGTATGCACTGATAGGGCGGGGGAAGGGGGAGGGAGTCCTGAAATAAAGCAAACCTTAGAGAAGCGCATTCTGTCCTGCCTCCTGCTCCAGCTGCCTGGCAGAGCCTGAGCCTCACTGCTTTCAGGGTCACCAGCCTACATGGACAAGCAGGAGAGGTCAGGACAGGTGGGGGGGGGAGGCTTGGTGCACAGGCCCAGAGGAGGCTCAACCTCTGCTCCACCTGCCCTTCTCCTGGTCCCTCTGCTGCTGTTTGCATGTACTTGGTGGGTGGGGCAAAGGATGAGGCTAGAGAGGCAGAGGGAACAGATTGGGGTGCATCAGAGAAGAATGGCTCTACACCCCAGGCCCTGGAGGGGACACCTTTTTTATCTCTTGTCTGGCACTGGCATTAAGACTTTCTCTTAAAAGAAAATCTCTCATCTCTGAAATATGTTTGTTTTGTGAAATGAATTAGAAATGAATTTAGAAATCTGTGGGATCAGTCCTTGCTGAGCGGACGTCAGGAAAAAGGAAATAATATGTGTAGTTTGTCTTAATAAAATTTGACTCTATATCACTCTACTTCGTGTCCCTTTAATCATGAGGCTGCAAGAGAAGGATGGCAGACTTGGGGGGAAGGGGCCCTCGAATTCCACCTACCAGCCAGTCAGTAGAACACAGAGATTTAGAGTCAGACCAGCAAGGGTTAAAATCCCAGCCACTGACTTGCAGCTGGCCCCCAGCAAGCCACCTCACCCCTGAGCCTTGGTGTTCTCAGCTGGAATTGAGCCTAGTAATACCTACCTCTTAGGGATGTTCAATGAGAGGTTGTTCATAAAGAGTTCTACAGAGCATTAAAAAAAATAAACCAGGTTCTTCTTCTTCTTCTTTTTTTGATATTATGTTAAATATATGGGATGTAGAGGGATGATTCCTGAATGTCCCCTTATAGAGTTTACAACCTACCCAAGATGATCAAATTAACTCACATAGCAAGAAAATGAGAATAGAATTAAATGGTCATTCATTTGTTATTAATTCAAAGAACAATAAGACTCCAGGAAATGACACATATGAAAGATATCCATGGAGGGGGTGAGGCCTCAGTGAGGCCTTACAGGATGGTTAAAGTTTCAGAGGTTAGAACCTCCAGGATGATTCTGTGACATGGACTTGGTATCCCCATTTTACAGACATGGAAACTGAGGTCTGAGAAGGTTCTCTGGTGGTGGGGCAGCTTCTCTGGCCTGTTTGATTGGAACAGCATCTCATTGAAAGAGAAAGGATTCTGCTCCAAGGAGTCCAGGGGCCACCCAGCTCTACACACACAAAGGGGTGCCATTTCCTCGAGAAACAAAGATGGAGCAAAACAAATCTTATCTTAACAAGCAGTGTCTTAACTACCAGTCCATTCTGTTTATCAGGAGGAAGACTTTTAAAGAGGGATTGCAAAGAGATAGCGCACACATGTAGGGTGGGGTGTCCAAGATTCAGGGTGCCCCAGGGGTCTGTTCAAGGGTAAGGTACCTGAGTAGCTCATTGGAAGAAGCCTCAGGAATCCTTTTTTCCCCCTAGAAATAAAAGCAGTGCATCTTGTGGTTTTATAAACACAACTATTAACATTTAACAGCTTATATTACACTCAGACTGTAAAAGCCAAGGGACTTATTTTATAGCGGGTGAGATTTCAACCTCATATATCTCCTCTCATTTTCTCTTCCTTTGCTCCTGCTAAAGGTTCACCACTAAAGAAGGAAGTAGAATAATGACCTAGTGAAAATGCTCTGAGTTGTAGGCCCCTTCAGGCCCCTTTCCTTAATTTCCTTCCCCTGGTGCCAAATGAGACCGGAATTTCTACAGCGAGTGTTTCATTCCTATGGCTGAAGCGTTTGCGTTGTTAAATGCCAGGAACACTCCTGTGGAGAATCATGGCATGGCGGAGTCTCAGATTTCTTCTTAACAGCAATAGCAGAGAGAAAAAGAACAGAACAGAGGCCACGGGCACTTAGCTGGTGCCTTGAAGTGTTGCGCCCATGAATGTAGAGATGGAGGACAGTGAGGCTGGAGGGGGAGCCCAAGAGAAGCTGCCCACTCCCCACCACTGTGTGCTGGCCCTGAGGACAGCAGAATTTATTTATTTATTTTTTAAAGATTTATTTGTTTTTATACAAGAACTGGGGTACAGGCCAGAGGCGCGGGAGGGTGAGAGGATTCACCAGAGACAGAGCAGGGAGCAGAACAGGCAGATGACAGAAATACACTGCTGACGGGAGCAGCGGGCACGACAGGAGAGGTCTGCGGCATCATGTGGGATTCTTGCCAGCTGGCCGGGATTGAACCCGCACTGCCAAGGCTGCGGACAGCTTCACAGCATGGCACTCATCCTGCTGCTCCACCAGGGTGGCCTGGACAGCAGAATTTACAAGTGATATGTACATGGAATAGGGTCAGTGGCTTTTCCCCTTGTTGGTCTCCTGGTGCTTCTCAGAGATGGAGATGGTCTAGAGTATTTTATTGTTACAATAGGAAAAGAGGAAAACTTTCATTCAACAAATGTTTATTGAGTGCCATCTCTGAGCTGGGTATTTGTGAGCTTTAAGGAATAGATTTTATAAACCAGATATAGATGTTCTTGCCTTTCCAGCTTAGAGACTAGTGGGAGAGACACCCTAATACAAGAAAATAAACGAAATAATTGTAAGTTGTGGTTAGTGCCAAGGAAAAAAAAGGGGACTGATGGGGTAGGTAGAGAGTGGGCTGAGTAGAACATCCCTTCAGGGCCTCCCTGGTAGCATAAGGGGTTAAGTCTCAGCACTATGAAGCTATTGGCAGCCACTGCAGCAAGAAAGCAATCCCTGGCCAGGGAGCTGATTGACATGGCACGGAGACCTTTCCTGTCTTGCCTACTGCTCCCCTCAGCAGTGTCTTTGAGTAGATCCGACTGTTCTGCTCCCCACTCTGTCTCTGGTGAATCCTCTTACCCCCACCCCCACACCTCTGGCCTACACCCCAGCTCTTGTGTGCATAAATAAATAAATCATTTTTTTTTAAATTAAAATCCCTTCGGAGGCAGTGACATTGAGCTGAGGCCTGACAGCTGAGGAGAGGCCAGCCACTGAGAGGAGCAGAACCCAGGTAGGGGGAACCCAAATTCCTTCCAGGAAATCCCAGAATAAGCTCTCTCTGACCTCAGTCTGGTTCAATATTTTTGAAAGACACAGAATTCAAGCAGAATTCTGTATGTGATGCTTTAAATAGCACCTAAAACAGCACCAACTGTCGCTAAGTACACATACCTCTTTCCACAGAAGCCTCAAGGGAAATCTTTTTACTCCAAGATGCCAAAGGAATATGTAAAAGATCTTAATTGAATAAATGCATTTGCTGTTAACGTTTGGAAAAGCCCTATTTGATGTTGCAACTATTATTTCCACCAGGATTCATTCTTGCAACAATGCTTAAGGTTTCTGAGTCCCTGGGGGAGGGCTGGGAGGGGAAACCCCAGCTGGGGAGAGAGCTGACTGCAGGTCCAGGGCAGCCCAGGCCGGTAGGCAGAAGACCTGTGCAAAGGGGTCCAGAAGGAGCCAGCAGGGCGTGGTCCAGAGGAGATATGGCACCAGAGGAGTCAAAACAATGCAGGGGGAGGGGTGGGAGTTGAGGAAGGAGTAGGAACTGATCCGGAAGCCAGACCTCAGGACTTGTGGGAGACTGCCGGCAGGCATCTTCAGGCCCAGCAGGGTCCTCGCTCTAGTTAGGATGGAGCTGGACCTCCAGACTCAGAGGAGGTAATCCCAAAGAAAAGTCAGGCACAGCCTTGCTTCCTCCCGGGCTCAGGCAGGTGGGGTTATTCCGCGGGCACAGGGACAGCCTTGGCCAGAGCATAAGGTGGGGACTCACAATTAGAACTATAGTGAGGTGCCCGTGGGTCAAGTTTGTGCTGGTCACCTGTGACTTTGCTGGAGGCCTTTAAAGCCTTAACCCGAGGGAATGGCCAGCAGGGGGTCTTCCAGACACAGTGGAGGATGACAGGTGATATTCGGATGGACCCCAGTACTGCTCCGAAGTCATCCTGGGGGCTTACAGGACAGGGGCATTGACGTGCTAGTCAGGGCCTCCTCAGACAGAGACCCTGCCAGGGCCCCTCAGGAGAATGTGTAGCCCTGGACGCTGCAGCCTGGTCTGTGCCAAGTCCCTCCGGCAGTGGCTGTGTTAACCCCCCAGCGGTCGGGGGGTCAGGGCAGGGTTCAAAGCTGTTGATGCCTTTCCGGAACTTCCAGTGAGTTGAAACACAAACGTTTGAGGTCAACTGGCACCTATGGGGACCTTTAAAAACCAGTGCAGGGTGTAGCTGACTGAGAAATCCCATTTTTAAAACCTACATATTTTGACAGTAATGATGAAACAAGCTTGCACCAGGGACTGTTTTCTAGATGTTTTCATCAGTTCATCCTACATTAATCCCACAAGGTGGTTTGACTTTAAAGACAAGGAAACAGACTTTAGAAAGATTCTGTAGCTACCCAGCTGGAGGCGGCAGCACTGGGATTCAAACACCCCAAGGCCATAATATTCTTTTTTTTTTTTTTAAAGATTTATTTATTTATTTATACAAGCACTGGGTACAGTCAGAAGCGCAGGAGGGTGAGAGAATTCACCAGAGCCAGAGCAGAGAACAGGACAGGCAGAAGGACCGAAGTACACTGCTGAGGGGAGCAGCGGGCGTCAGGAGAGGTCTGCGCACCATGTGGGACCCTCCTGCGGTGGCCGGGGAGCAGCCGGGGATCGAACTGGTGCTACAGAGGTTGCGGGCAGCTTCGCAACCCAGCGCTCAACCGCTGCGCCACCAGGGGAGGCCCAAGGCCATAATACTCTTAAGTGCGCATCCTTGATGCCAGCAAAAGGCCAGACACAGCGCTGTGTGCACCTGCAACTAATGTGTACCAAAATGGGTATTTAGAAGAACGAAAATCTGAAAAATGAAAGCCGTTGGGCCAGCGTGGCGGGTCTGTGTGGGAACTTTGGCCTCACTCTCCAAAGTATTTTAACGATCTCAGGTTATTTTTGTAATTAAAAAAATTTTAAATCTATTTGCATTCAATCTTTGGGCTAAATTTGGTGTTCCCCTGGGGGGACTGCAGGAGCTGCTGCCCTCGGTTTCCAGGCACTCATGTTTGGGAAAGTTTTGCTCTGGGCGCTGCCTGCCACCCTTAAATGGAAAGGGATCAGCGGGGGGCACGCCCCCGGGTCTGGGCCGCTAACCAAGTGGCTGCCTGGGTCAGGCCTCTGCTTCTGGACACAGCAGCACCGGTGAGTGTGGTCCCAGGACCAACACAGGCGGGGGCCAGGCACGGTGGGCGGGTTGGGAGGGTATCAGTACGAGGGGAGTCCCCCTGCACACTGAACCCCAGGAAGGCATTTGGTCAGTGTGGCGAGAGTGGGGAATGCATGGTCGGTTCTCAGTCCAAGGACCGGCCCCAGGGAGGGGATGCCCCCAGGAGAAGCATCATAGAGCAGGTGACGCTTGCAAGTGTCTATGAAAGATGAATGAGACTTTATCACGTAGGGAGGAGGAGGCTTTTGTGGGA